CATAAATCTCCCCCTTCTGTTTCTTGTATTTCAAATAGAACTGCTAAGCATGTAAAACATTTACAAAGGAAGGTGCAAAAGTCTAAATTCTGCCTCTGAAGTAGTGTCAGGTGCTCACAAATAGCCTGGTAAAACATATCAAATATTGTGGTGTAAGATAGCTGGCATTATTTTCCGAGACATGATTATTATAAAAAGTGGTGTTAATGGAGAAGGAAAGGCAGTCCCGGGATCACTTATTTACAAAGGTTTCAGGTTATCTGTCTACATATAGAGTGGATATTTTTTCTTTCTTTGTGGTAATAAAAAGTCAAAACAGGCAGTTTTCTAGACAAGTAAATTAATAGATATAATGGGCATGTGACATTTTGAAAATATGAATGAACATGTAGAATGTCCCAGTTCCTAATAGTATGTTCTTAACACACATGAAATCTGTCAATGGAAAGATGAAACAAGAATAACATCAGAAACACACACATAAAAATGTTTAAATTCTCCCCATTCATTCCCAAAACGTAGGTGTGGGATATACACCTGCATGTTTTTGGCAAGAACAGATTGCAGACAGAAGAGGCAGAATCTCTCTGAGAAAATTTCCACACATACGGCAACATATCGCTTCCTATCTCTTTGCTACTCCTTCATGTTCATTTTATTGATTCTTTTCAAACAAATTTATCTGCTTTCATTTAACAATGCATCCAGTCCGGCTGACATTTCCTAACTACTCAGCTGTTCATAGATTCCTGAGTTCTGTTCAACGTTCTCTTATTTTTATAAATGAAATCCAGAGTGCCAAACTAAGCCTCTGAAACACTTCCTCGGGTAGATGAAGACCGATCACTTGTCCTAAGTATAAATCATGAGTCACACAGAGGAGGAAGGCTATGTTGCTCTTACCTTTTATATTCCAACCAGTGCATGTGGCTTGGACATATTAAGAGAATTGGAGTGTCTGGTAATACTATTCAATGTCACACAAGGCTAGGCTTTTGGACTAGGAGGGCAGGTGTTATTTCTGCATGTTACCTTCATATTGTTAATCTGTGACAAAGTGTAACTGACCCAGGCAAGTGCCACTTTATCATTGCAATGGGGAATGAATAAATTTGCTTTTGGCGAGCACAGGAATGCTACTTCTGTCTTCGGCTCAGAAGCAATTTAGAGGATTGTGGAAAAATGTTATTTTATTCTTGTTAAGATTGATTTATTGTTGAATACAGAACTGGGGTACAAACCAGAGGTGCAGGGGCAGTGAGAGGATTCACCTGAGGCAGAGTGGGGAGCAGAACATGCCAACCGATGAAAAATACACTGCTGATGGGAGCAGCGGACAGGTCAGGAGAGGTCTGCTGCACCATGTGGGTCACCTCCAGGGCGGGGATCGAACTCCACTGAAATGGCTGCAGCTGGCTTGCAGTGCTGCATCCTTAACCTGCTACCAGGGAGGGCCGGAAAAGATGTTCTTTGTGAGCGTGTGTATCCTTGCTATTGCAGCTTCTGATCACATAAATTTTGGTTAACTTTAGAGAAACTACATGAGAATGTCTGCCAATAATCTTCCCGTGAGTTTATTCATTATAAACAGATTTCAGTGTTGGGGTTGAAGAGAACCGTTCTGGTTCTTCTTGACCATGTTGTGTGCGTTTACATCCCAAGGTGCTGTAATTAGTGGTTTCCCTAGTATACAATGGCTTTAAACAGAAAAAGTAGAACACTTTTTTGACTCCATGCAGCCCTTCTATTTTACACAATGTATTTTTTTTTAAGATTTATTTATTTATGCATACAGAACTGGGGTACAGGCCAGAGGCTCAGGGGCGGTGAGAGGCTTCACCAGAGACAGAGTGGGGAGCAGAACAGGCAGATCCACGAGGTACACTCTGAGAGGAACAGCGGGCGGGTCAGGAGAGGTCTGCCACACCATAGGGTCACCTCCGGGGCAGGCGGGGATCGAACTCATGCTACAGTAGCTTTAGTTTCTCAGTGCTGTGCTTTAACCCGCTGCGCCACCAGGGAGGCCCCCACAATGTATTTTTTTTTTTTTCAAATTAGACTTCTTTTTTCCACACAAATTATACGATTTTATGTATTCAGGTTTTGCTTGAGCTTCATTCTGTTCTTTCCATATTTCTACCTATCCAAATTTTGGCTTTTTTTTAAAGCTTCCTCAAACATTTCTTAATCTCCTATTTAGAAATGATCTTCTCTTCTTAGGTCAAAATAACACAATGTTTTCATTTTTCTTAAAGCACTTTATGGCTTGAAAATTTATATGATCAAACTTTGGGTTTACGGCTGATTTCTTCACAAAGACAGCAAACAGAGGCAGCACTATTGTATATTCCAACTATAGACCAGTGCTTTTCACATTCACTGTTTCTATACACATAGGTCCACATATTCTCATGCTCTTACTCTCTCCCATACAGTTTGTCTATGGTCTTATACAAAACTGCTTAGAAATTTCATTAGTGTTTGATGGATCATCACTACCATCTCCCCTTCCTCCATCCTGCCTAAGAAGATTTAATATCAAAATTACCTCACAGGCTACCAATCAAGATTTCCTCTGGCATAAGTTTAACCCTTTATGGTGTAAGTGAATTAATCAGGCATTTTACACCATTGGCATCTGGCTGCCACCTGTGGCCTTGATCTCATTAATTCACAAAGTGCTTGGGAGGATGGGTGCTGACTGTCCATACCCAGAGCATGGCTGTGTACACACGTGCAAGTGTGCACGCCTGAGCATAGATTCCAGGGGTATAATGGTGGTATCACTTGGGCGATGGCTGTGAGGTCAGTGGAGTTATGACAGACAGGTAAGACCACAGAGAACACCAGATAAAGCCCAGAGAGAGTGTAAAGATTCCTGGAGTGCTGGGAGGCTTGGTTGCCTGCCTCTCAGCAGTAAGGCTGGCTACCTGGCCTCAGCCTCCTGCCCCCCCACTCCCCCTTACCCATCTGCCTAGTTGCCATTAAACCCTTTAACTCCACTTTCAACAATGAAGAGAAGAATCCCATTGCTCAGGTTGTGTGTGTGTGAACCACAGCCTCCAGTCACTCCTAGTGTCACATTGAAAATCTACAGTTTTTGTGGCAAAGAGAATATTTGCACAGGTAGTTTGTTTCAGCTTTTTTCTATGGAAAAGGTGTGTGTGTGTGTGTGTGTGTGTAATGATACCCTAGAGAAATCAGACTGTTGAAAATAAGCAAGTCATTTGCCTTTCACACTATCAATGTGCTATTTCCACCCTTCCCTATTAAGAAATGACTATGGGCTTGAGTTAGCGCTTCCAGAATAGGAAAATGGTGCAGAGAGAGAGCCTTCGTTAAAGAATTTCCAGAATACATTGTCCCAAATATACACCATAAAGTTAACAGGGAAAGAAGAGGTTCTCGAGCTCTGAGGTGCTGCCAGGACCCCGAGCTACTGGGAGTTCAGCCATTGTGCTCGCGGGGAGCTAGCTGCCTCCCCCTCCACTCTTCTCAATGAGATGCCTAGTAAGTGACTCTCCTGTATAAACCTTGCCCGCTGCCTGGGGAATTCACGTAGCTGAGGTATCACCTGATCGCTGTTAACTGTGTGGGCTCTTACCCCTTGCCCTCCCTGAAGCTATGAAACGCTCCGTTTGAGCCCTGAATCCCGTGGGGGGTGGAGTGCGGGTGGCTGGATTCTGAGCTCCATAATCCTTCCATCCCCCGCCTACGTGGCGTTCTCACTAAGGAGAGGGGCAAGAGCCTCTAGGGTTCCAGGCAGCGAAGTACCCGAAGGAGTCAGAACAAACGTGCACACTCAAGGATCCATGATCAGTCCCAGCTCTGACCTAGGAGGACAGTGCAGGGCCCTGGGGCCAGGGATGCTGCCTCCTGTCTACTCTCACCACTTGCGGGTTTGACATCCAACGGACAAACCCCTCCAGGAAAAATAATGACATGTCCCAACCTTCAGGAGAGGAGCGTTAGTCCTGGGCGCTTGCCAAGGTCCAACACTCCAATTTACACGCGCACACGAAGGCTTGCAGGTGTGAGTGGGGGGCGGGGGCGTGGGGAAGACCCCGCAGAGCTCATGTTTGTACATTGTCGTCCCCTGTGCGGGGCCCCGGCCCGCGCGGCGCGCTGGGGACCGAGGGCAGAGCCCGCTGCGGTGGCGGCGGGGGACGAGAGTCCCCGAGGACGCGGCTCACAAGCAGCGAGTTCCATGCAGCCCGCCAGTGCTTCGCCTCCTCCCCGGCGCCTGTCCCTTCGGGGCCCTCTGTCCAGGCCGCGGTCGACCAGGCAGAGCACGCGGAGCGGGTCTGCCCGCCACCCGCTCGCGCCCCGGGAGACGAGCAGGTGTCGCCTAGGACTGGGGCTGCCCTCGGCTGCGGCAACGTGCAGAGCGCGGCCGGGGCAGCTGCAGAGCTGGGCGAGGGAGACCGAAAATCCCCCCTTCCTGCAGGCCCCGGAGGCATGCGAGCTGCAGAGCACACCGCCCGCTCCTAGCGCCCCGGCTCTCGAGCCCTTGGGCGCGCTTGAGCCCGGAGCCCTGAGCCCCGAACCCGCAGCCTCGCAGTCCCGCAGCCTCGCTCCTGCCGCCAGCTTCCTTCAACGCTCAGCTGGCAGGGCGGGAGCTCCAGGAGGAGTGCCGACCCCCGAGCGTTGGCCGCCACTCGCGGTCGCGCCCGGCCAGCCCGAGCGCGGTGGCCCCGC